GAGAGTGTCCCTTACATGAACTGTGTTTTTTTTTAACTGAACCACCCGAGGCAGCTGTTGTTTGCCACCATAACCTGTCACCAGCTCAGCCCCTCTGGCACATAGGGGAACTGTTAGCAGGCAAGTGGAGCTGGCAGGGAGTTATGTCTGGGTCTAGAAAAAAATTTTCTCCAGCAGGAAATGTCTTGGGCTTCCTGCAGTGAAATTCTCCCCATGCTTTTGCAGCGGGCTTTGTGGGCTAAAGCAAAACAAAATCCACCTTGCATTTTAAAGGAGAGCTATGTTTAAAAAATTGCAGGCTTCATTTGAAGCTTTAGAAATTTCCATTCACTAGTTCATGCCTCTCAGTAGCAGGATTCTGGCATGTGTGTGATAAGATGAAGGATGTAGAATGCCATTTTAATTTGTGAGGAACGAGCTTTTCGTTATTTCAGATTATTTCTGCTTTGAAACATAGGGTTAATGAGCATATATCAAGGCTCTGTAGTTTAGTGCAACTACTACAGTTCATCCAATTTAGAGAGACAAAAAGAAAATAAAAGGGAAGTGGAATTAGCACAAGGAAATTATACAGATGTGTGAATGACAGCTTCTGAATGCTTAATGTGAAATTTCAAGGTTCATGCAGATCCTCAAGGGATGGAGCATTTTGAAATTATTAGCTCTTCACACTGTAAAGCCTTCCTACTTGCAGTCATGGCAACGACTCAGAAGCTCCTCTTTTTTCCCATCTCCTGTACCTTGGCAACAGGGGTGCCACAGGTTTTTAATCAACTTCTGGTTGGCTCTTCAGCTGCCCAATACAAATTCTGAGTTAAGGTAACTTTTGCAAAGGTAATGACCCATTTTAGCTGGTGAGAAAGGAGAGCTGCAAACTGAGAAATCAAATAGTGACCTGGCTTGGTCAGTCTTACCCCTCAGGTCTTGCGATGCAGCAAGAGAGAGAGATTAATTTTGCTTGGTTTGGACCCATCCTTGCTGGCAAAAAGGCAATTAAAATTGGCTCAGTTAATACTTGGAAGTGAAACAAGATAAAATCTGCATTTCTCCTAGAACTTTACAGGGTTTTGGTTTAGTTTGTGGTTGGTTTTTTTTCTGGTTTCTTTTGTTTTTCTAAATTGTATATTCCTTTCTTCAGTGTTTTTCCAGTATCTGTGATTTCACAATCAATCTCTTGGCACTGTAGTGTTTGCATGGTCATTTTTAGGAGCAATTTGCTTGTCTGGGTCTAGTAACGGGTAGATGGCTGTTGTTTCCATATAGAGTTACCTACTAAGTATGTAAGCTATGTGGAGACTTAATCATAATTAGAAAACTGTGAAGCTGTTGCCCCATTAAATATACATTGTGAGCCAAGCAAAGCATTTGTGTTATCTTCTGGGATAAGAATTCTTCTGGATTCCTGTCTCAAATGGTTTATTGAAATGTTACCACTTGTCTTGGGTGTGAATTTTCCACAGTTAAAAGACAGCTATCTGGCATCTACAAAATTATCAGGGAGCATAGTTGGAGCAGGAGACTCATTTTTTGTTATAAATAAGACTTTTTTTCTTGCTGATTGTCATTTGGAGAGACAGGTGTCTTTAAGTTGACATCATACAGCGACACTGCATTCAATTACATGATCCCAACTTCACTGAAGGAAAGGAGGATATCTCAGGCCTGTCCTACCACACTCTTCAGAGAGAAAAGCCTCTTACAATTTTTAAATTTGTCTATTTAAGACTATCACTGTACCCTTCTGAGAAGATATTTCTGTAGATAGACATAACCTTCTTTCCGTCTGTAAGAGGCTGCCCAAGGAGATGGTGGAGTCACCATCCCTGGAGGTAAAACCTGTAGATGTGGCACTTCAAGACATGCTCTAGTGAGCATGGTGGGTGGGTGGTATTGTGTTGTTTGTTTGGTGGTTTGGCTTTTTTTTTGTTTTGGGTGGACAGTTGGACTTGGATTATCATAGAAGTCTTTTCTAACTGTAATGATTCTGTGATTCTGAGGTATGTATGTCCAAGTGAGAGCCAGCAGATTAAAATAATTTAAATAATTTCTTGCTTAATGTAAAAGGAATAAAGAGGGCAAAGTTAGCTACTGCTGTTGAGATCAATTTGAGACAAGAACAGCCAGAAGTAAAAAGAGAGACTGGAGCCCCTTGTCAGTAATAAGGCAACAAGAAACCACCATTGCCTCCTGGACTTTTGCATTTCCAGATGCCTTGGCCATGCCCTTCTCCTTCAGAAGTGGCATTGAGGCAAGAGGTGTGGAGGAAGTTTCTGAAGAAGTAGACAGTTTTGCATTCCAAGACTACGAGTCTGACATCTTCCCAATATCTTACACTCAAATAACAAAGTCAGGTTTGTTTATATAGATTTCTCATCAGTCTTTGTAGTTGGAACAACAGCTTCAAAGACTGGGCCTTGTTTGTGTGGTCAATGCAGACTGTAACACTGTTACTGAAGATCTACACCTTCCCCATAAACCTGAAGCTTTTTTTCCTGCTTTGGACATGATGCTGCTTTTCAAAGCCCTTTAAATGTGCTTGGTAGGGTGAGATTTGGCAAGAACATTAACTGCTTTGAATAAATCAGATAATCTGAGCCAGATACTCTAGATCAACTGCATGACTGAACCTGGGGTATATTCCTGATTGAATGCAAACCTTTTTATTTGTGTCTACTAAAAAGCGCCATAAAAGGTAATGGTAATGTTGCTAAGGAACTGTTTACCTGCCAAATGTATCTGTATGATGCATGAGGTGACCATGGGAACCAATTTGATGGCAATTATTTAAAGCTAACCTTGCAGTGAAATGATTATTGCATGTATAGTAAGTATTTCTGCAGTTGCATTTGAAAAGCTTGTTGCTGGGAAAAGGTATAATAGTTAGAAGTCCATTTAGAGAGAAGGGTCAGCATAGATCCTACATAAAAAATAAATTACTAGAGCCAGGTTTTTTGATGTATATTTTACAAATAATGTTTTGAAAATAAATAGGAAATCTGTATTTGGGTTATCAACGTTGTGCAGATTTTAAATGGTTTAGTATGTATTCCTAGGGGACTCAGTCTTTTGCCTGATTTCATTTTTCTTTAAAAATTAATTACAGGTTGCTGTATTCCCCCCAGAGAACTTACTATGTCTTGCTCTCCAAAGAGTGCTTGGTTCTCATGAGATAAAGTGCCTTAGGCTGTAAGCTACTGATTCCATTTCTGATTCATAAAGGAATTTTTTAATCTTATTTTTATCCTTACTGACATTTTTCATGAGTGATAACTAATAGCACTACGTTAGGATCAGGGCTGTTATGATACTGTCTTATAAAGGAAGCATACTGCACAAATCATCCTTCAGGGACTGAATTTTACTTGGAAAGATTATGTACTAAGATTATTTTCAAGCATGTATGTCCAATTCAAAGAAAAATTTCAAATTTGCTATAAACATTGAGGCTGAGGGAGAACCTCCTATTGCTTCCAACAATTTTTATGGAATATATTTTCTTAGGAGTTGCCCTCAGGATGCTACCAAAATACGTGTTCTAGTGGCATTCTGCATAAACCTGTTACCATTACCATTTTAACCCAGTGATGAATTCCACAGGAAATCTGAGATAATAGCTGGTGTAAGGTGGCATTAGAATTTTCCAGTTATGGCCCAGCTGACAACTGTTATGTGTATCTGTGTAATTAAAAAGAAATAATTATATAGAATTCATAATGGCAGGTAGAGTTTGTTTGGATAATTAAAGAGACACTTCAGTGTCAATAAAGAGGAGTAAGAAAGATTGTGTTTCAGATGAGAAAACATAGAAAATTGAAGTTTTGGATGAATCAGCTTTGAAAAAAAAATTATTTCATCCCTAAATGATTGTAATTGGGCTTGCCTTATTTTTTTTTCTTTCAAGTCACTTCAGGTTGCATGTTTCATTCTCACTCTGTCTTCTCTGCAGCTCTCAGACCAAGAATGATATCATACCAATACAAAGTGAACCCAGGTCTTTCACAAACAGGCTTCAAGTCTCGTGTGTGTTCATTTACAGACATTGCGACTCATGCTGGGGCTTTACTTGCAAGCACATAAAACAAAAAGGGTATTTTCAAGGCCCCTAACAATTCAGATTAGTTAGATTTATTCTTTTGTGAAACTGAAATATATTTATGCACATAATCCACAGTGAGGCTGTAAAAGATACCCAGGTATAGAAAGCAGACTGTTGCTGAGCTTGTATTTGTACATGTGAAGAGAAAAGAATCCGTGCAGTTACAGTGGAAGGATAATTATGTATGAAGTTAAGTTTTTCAGAAGGATAATTATGTTTACAGTAAAGTTTTTCAGAAGGTATTGTTTGAGTGCCATGGCTCATAAACTCAAATAAAGAGTTTTATTTTGCATGGCAAAAGGAAATGAGAAGTTGGCAATATATTTAATATCTTTTTATATTTTAGATTTTTGAAAACAAGTTGTCATTTTTATTTTTCCTATGGTCCAGTGACTTGTGGGGTCAGTCCCATTTTTTATGTCCAAGTGGTGAAGAGCAGCAAATGTTTCTCTTCCAGTTAGCTTCAATGTGCACACTTTGAAATAGTGGAGCAGAGAAGTCAAGTTCTTTCTTGCCCTGGAAAATTTAACTTTTTTCAGTGCTAGAAGTCCCCCTTTGGAGCAGGATTTTCATGCACTGCTGGAACTAAGTCTCTGAGTTTATCTGCTTTCACCATCGTTGTCTGCTGGGAGCTTACATTATTTGACCTAGTGTTCAACACTTCTTTGTGCTAATTGGAGGGTCTGGGTTTAGTTTATTTAACACATTGGGTGTATCTCCTGTATTCTTTAAAAGACCATATATTATATCTTTTTTCTGTAGACAGATACCCATTTCTCTTCAGGAGTCCTGCATGACTGTTTATTTGCAAGGCACAAATGAAAAGTGATTCTTGTAAACAGTGCAGGGACCAATTTGATTACCTAAATGTATTGCTTAATTAAAACTTTTGTTTTTCTTTCAGACACCCCGAACATGTGAAAACTTTATAAAATTGTGCAAGAAGAACTATTATGATGGAACAATTTTTCACAGATCAATCCGTAATTTTGTGGTGAGTATCGAGCAAATCCTGTGTAAACCACAATATGTGATGTCCTCAAAATATTTATTTAGCTTACTTCAGTGTTAGTTTCTTCCATGCTTGAAAACTTGCAAAAGATGTCTACTAAATATCCCATCAGAACTATGATTGTCCTAACTTGTTAAATTGTAGTTACTAGTCTTAACAACTGTCTCTGACTAGTATTGTCACTTGGAGCATCGCTGCATTTAGTAGTGCTTTTGCTGGTGTTGCAGACAAAGCCTTTGAGAGTCACTGCCTTTGCAAGGTTCTTTTTATTTTCTCCAGGCTGTGGGTGGGTGGTTAATGAACAGAAGGGGGGCATATTTGGATAAGTAATACTGTGACCTGTTGAAATCCCATTCAGATGAAACCTCAGAAAGCAAATGAATTTGTTTCAGGCTGTGGTACTTGGATACTGTCAGATCATCCTTTCTTGAGTGCCCAGGCTTTCTTTGTGAAGGAGTTAAAGAGCACCTAGTGAACCAGAAAGTTGACTTTGGAAGTCAAAGCTCTTTATTTACATAGTCCAGGCAGTTTAGGATATTGTAGCTGTCCTGTAACTTCCTTTCAGAAGAATTAACAGTCTGATCCTGAAGGCAGAACACATCTTGCAGGGGATGTCACTGAATGTTACATTCCATCCTGTTATTCTAAAAAAAGGATTTTTTCTTTTGACAGCACTGTGTATCTCAGTTCATAGTTAAACTCACATTAAAATTGTGCTTATGTGCTCTTACTGTGAAACGAGTCATGTCACATTCCCTGTATTGGCACTAGAATATGGAGTATTATTGCTGTAGATCTGTGTTTATATGCAGTTACTAATTTTGTTGCTGAAAGATTGGTTTCACATGAGGATTTTCTGTACTGCAGATAAGTGGGGGAGATACTGGAAATACAGATTTGGATACTATAAATACAAATTCAGATACAGAAAATATGCCATATTCCCTTGTTTCTTGCCTTCCCATCATGTAGAGAACTAGTAGCAAAATGTAAAGACTTTCCAATTCCAAAACCAATGCATCATCAGTTAAAAAGCAAGTTATGACTCAGCACATAACAGAAAGATGATCTGCTTAACCCCTTTGAGGCTGTTTACTTTCTCTATTTACTCACAAGAGACCTTTTATTTTTACAAAAGTGTCATTCTGGTCTCAGGTAAGTAATGTAGGAGATGACAGCCAGCTGATAAAAGAAGCTTCAAATAAGTAGTAATTGTTTCCTTGTTCCTAACTTGTCAATATGTCACAACATAAAAGGAAAGAAATTGAGCAGAATTGGCTTTTATGGCTTGTATTTTATGCCTTTAATACAGATGTATTTGTAATGTATTGATTTAATTTTAATTCTGCAGATCCAAGGAGGTGATCCTACTGGAACAGGAACAGGTAAGGTTGAGTTTGAATTAAGTAAAGTGTTTTCACTTCATGTGCTGTGTTTCTACCTTTATTTGCAGACACCTTGTAGATTAAAATTCTCTAGACTATGATATATGGTACATCGTAAGTATTTTTACTTTAAAGCAGAGGTTTTATTGCTTTATTTTTGTAACCGTTTGAACTATGCTCAGGATTTCATCAAATATATTCTCAGTCTAAAACTTGGGCACTCTTCCATGTAGATTTCTTGGTGGGTCTTTACTTCTTTTTTCTTCAAGTGAAGAAATTAAATCTGTTATGATTTTACAGCTGGCCTTCATGGGCAAACAAAGGAAGAAACACATTCATGCAACATGGCTTTCAAATTCAGTGTTAACGAAATATTTGAGACCTGTTTAGGATTGTGAATGACCAGATACCATCTCCTTCTCCCAGCTAGTTGCCTTGTAAAGCCCAAACTGCTCTTTTTCCTGTCATTTCAGGGTAACTGTTCCCTTGGTGGGAAATTTGCATGACAGTTATATCAGAAAGGGTCAGGAGACATAGCAGCTGAAGGGTCCTCAGAGCATGCCCATCATAGTAGATAAGTTGTGTAATATCTCTACTTGTTGCTGTAGATTTGCTCATTTTCCACTGGTACTTTTTATCTACCCACTTGTAGGTGTCATCAGCCTCCTCAGCTCCTTGCCTGGTCCTGTGGGGTTCTGTGCATTTCTATTCTGGTTCATACATGTGACACTTACGTATGCAAGCATTATAGTCTTCTGTGTGTGCTCCCAGGTTATCCAAAACAGATGTCTTTGTAGTTGTTAAATACTTCAGCTCTATTTACTTTGTAAATAATGCTGGTGTGAGTTGCCGAACAGCTTTTCTTCTACTTCATGGGATAATCGACAGTTGCATACTCTTAAGATTTGAGACAAGTTAAAGGTTCCGCTTTTTGATGGCAGAAGCCCATTAACAAGATTTGAAAATTGACTTGGTGGTGCCATTCTTGTCTCTGTTTGAGCAAATGGCAGAAGTATCTTAAGTCAGCAGAGTTAGCAGTTGGCAGAGGGCTGGCAATGCAGCTGCAATTGGAGCTCAAGACTCAGTTCTGCTGCCAAAGCAAGTAGAAGCAAGTAAGGCCATAGGAGGAAGAAGCTCCTATGTACGTTATTTTAAAAAAAGGTGTCTGATGACCTCTAGTCTTTTCCATCTTGTTTTCCTCCTTGTCATTCTTAATTAAATAGGAATGTATGTCAGGCAAGGTATCTTGCTAACATCTGTCAGGACTATTAAAGTTCTAATGAAATGGACAGTGCACACTCAGATAGGAATGTTGCAGTTTTTTAGAGACTGTTTGCAGTTAATATAGCGTCCAAACAATGAAACTACCTTCTTTGCAACTGAATGTTTTTTGGGGTTTTTTTTTAAGGTGGCTGGATTTTAGATATCCTTATTTCATCATTTATACGATAATCATACGATGATCATACGATAATTTCACAAGAAAATGTTGTAAATGGACAGCCTGGTGGGCTGCTAGATTTGTCTTACCTGTCCTGTCTTACCTGAACTGTCATACCTGTCCTGTGAGTTTACTACTGAAATGAAGCCACTTCGACAGTTCATGGATTGCAAGGAGTAATTCTCCAGTTTCAGTTGGAGTCTCTTGTATGAAGACTTCAGAAAAAAGAACATTATTTGTTTCCTCTTCCATGTAGAAACTTCTGCTTTAACTAAAATTTTCTGGCTAAGAGATTTGGGATTTTTTGTTTGTTTGTTGTATAAAAAAAAACAACAAACAAGCAACTTCTCCAAACTCATATATGAAAGGTGCATTAAGCCTGTATATATTTTTGTTTTGTTACATTTATTTTAATTATTCCTGTTCATCAGCTCAGGAACTAGAACAGACTTGTTCAAGTATCTTCCCACCATTTGGTTTCTGCCATCTGACATTCATCCTGTGGTCAGCAACAGGTGTCAGGTTTATGGTTGCAACACCCAAATGCTTCAATGATCACCCATTCCATTGCTAGCTAAGCCCAGGAGTGTTTGGCTTCTGGGTGGATTTGATCACATTCAGTGCAAGATGACATAAGGTTACATGTCATATGTGCATCAACTGCAGCTGTGCTCTCAGCTCACCTAGCTAATTGCTTGTGTTTTGGAAACATTTCACAGCTGTAAAAAGCTGAGCTGGTTGTCACTCACTGCCCACTTTCCATGGCTACACCAGCTGAACAATCCTGTCTATAAGCAGTGCTGATCCCAATTTATTTTTTGTTGTGCAGTACCCCAGTGTGTCCTTTTTTGGTCTCATTAGGTTGTCATAAAAGTAACTGTGAGCCAGCAAACGTGTGAGGGACAACTGATTGCTGATACTGAGCAGCTAACCTTGAGGTGGAAGAGAATGGAAATTAGCATTATGGCATCTAGAAGTTGAGATACCACACTGGGAAGAGTGGGCAATAGAGCTTTACCTTAGCTTAGCTGGCTGACCTACCTTAGCTGGTAGATAAAGTTCTGCAAGGTTGACAGTGATTTAGAGGACCAGATTAATTTTCTACAGCCTTCAACTTAATGTTTCGTAAGACTACAGGGAGAAATATTATTGTGCTGCAGCAGCTTATTTATTTTGTAACAAAATAACCACCCATAGAGGCAGCATTCAGAGCAATAAGTTGAGTCATGGTCATTCTTTGTAATGAATAATTATTTGAAAATTAATTTTAGATTTGTGAGGTATCTCTTTTCCTGCTGTTCATAACAACTAAGTAGTTGAACATTGTGAGTAATTCTAACTCATGCTAGTGCAAGTGGAGCAGCTGCTCTGTATTTCCAGTGTTCCAAATAGTAGAAGAAAATTTGCATGTAGGAAAAATAAGTTTGATATCCAAACCCCTTTTTATAAAAAAAAGGAAAACTAAATGCAAAGCATTACATTTTCCCAATGGCATGGGCATTTTTTAGCATCTCCTGCTTGCAATTCTGTTGAAAGGTCTCATGAATTGACTTGTATGTGCCTTATGAGTCCAGGAGGGCACAAAGGAGGCACAGCTGTAAAAGTCCAAGATAAAATACCACTGGTAGATGGAAATTGCATTTTGGTTTGCAACAAGCAGAGCTCCTCTGAACTGTCAGTAGCAAAAGATTGTGGACAGACTTGGTCAGTTCTGCTGTGCCATTTCCTAACAAGGCAAGTTCCTAAAATGTAACCAGTTTTAGAGCCCCTTTTCTTGCATGATTGAAGCTTAGGAAAGAACAAGAGCGAGGCTTTTTCACTAGCAATATATTCCTTTTACAGTGCAGCCCCTCTGAAAATCCAACCTCTGGTATGTGGGGTTAAAAATACCACGTCCTCTTATCTGAAAAAGGAGAAACACTTATTGGCTGAGCTTAGACTTTCATATTTGCAAAATGATTCAAGAATCTCACTTGGAAAGCTCTGTAGAAGTGTCAGATGTTATTATGTACCTCGTTTTTCCAAATGACAAGAAAATTACAGAAAGCAAGGCATCATTTTTGTGAATCAGAGCCCTCCCACTCCCTTACCACTGCTTAGCAATTTTTATGCCAGAAAAAGGAAGGATTTATTTAAAATCACAACTGTCATGAATTAAGATTCCCAGCCCACACCTGGCTTTAGGAATGCTACATTTCTGAAGCTTTAGGTGCATCTCTCAGCTCCTTGCAAGAAAGTTGTACAACTTCTGCAATTTTATCCAAAAAATTACTTTCTGAAAAAAACGGAAGGAACAAAGACTACCAAAGAGTAAGCTGTTCTAGCTCAAAAGACAATCTCAAAACGTGGCTCTTTTCTGTAGAGTTGCTCATGTGTGACTGCTTCAGATGTCATTGTAGATCTATTTGCCTTTTCACTATCAGCACAAGATGCAGATATGAGACTGAGTAACTAACCATGCTTCAGTTATAAGCTAAATATATCTTGCCACTCTGGATAGCCATGGCAGTGATGAATACAGGCTGCTTTTTTTCTGTGAGCTGTGTGGTCTGTTTGGCTTCATCTCTGTGTGAGATTAGGTAAACACCTCCTTAATTTGAGAGAATTTTTCTCTTTTATTAAAAATGTGGGGAAGTGGCTCCCAGCTGCCTTCAGCTTTGAATCTTGAGCATCTTGGTAGGCATCTGATTTTTATTTTACAGAATTGCACACAACCTCCTTCCAGCTCCTGGAGGCTCTGATGTTGCACAGGATAGATGCTGCTGTTAGAAGGTGGCCAGTGTATTTCTGTGGCTGATCCCAGGGACTTTTCCAGCTTTGTGCTAACAGGGAGACCCACATGAGCAGGGTTAGAAGTGCTGTACTCTTTTGCACTCCCAGCACCCATGACTGCAGCCATGTGAACCCCTCTGATTTTTAGCACAGAAACCCCCCAAATTTTTTTCCAGCACTTTTTGTAATAGGATCTCAGGAACATTTGCAAGTCCAGTAGGCACACAGCTCCATTGGGACAGAAGATAATCTTATCAGGGAGTAAGCTGAGAGAAAGGTGAAGTGACAGGCAGAGCTGCCCAATGTGACTCTTAATGCCCAGAGTCAAGTCTTGTTTTCCATGGGCTTTGCTTGTAGGCTGGTATGTCAGCTTTGGGGTGAGATTTTTGCATCATTGTGATTCCATATATAGTCAGGAGTGATTTGTGTGTGCTCAGAGGAATATTTGGGGTATTTTAAGGAGGAGCCTCCTTTCTTTTTGGCATGTACTGGGAGTGTAACATGAGGCATAGAGACAGTGCAACAGTCCCACAACCTCTACATCCATTCTGCTTTGAGAAAATGAGGAAGATGGCACAGCCACACCTCCCAACTGTATGACACCTCCCAACTGTATGAGGAATGAACACAGTAAAATCTGCTAGATACTTATGAATGCTTTGTAATTATTAGTGGTTGGTTTGGAGTCCATTAATTTACATTGAGCTCTACCATAGAAAGTAAAATGTAAGGATCAAAAATCCCTGTTCCAGACCCCCCTGACTGAGCATTAGGCACAGTGCTGCTATGGCAGTAGACTAACAATGAAATCTGTACTGAATCTTCAGAGAGAAAGTATTCTGGGTTTCAATAATATATATATATACATTTAACATTTCAAAATATATATATACATTTAACTCTCCATCTTCTGGCTTGTTTTGTCTGGTCCCGCTTCAAGCAGCAGATACTTGAAGCCTGGAACATTTTCAGAGGTTAGCAGGATTTTGACAAACAGCACACTGAGGCTATGTTTAATTTGAGAATACACGTGGGTTTGCTATTTTATTTTAAAATATATTCTTACATGTAATTTATTTTTTTCTTTAAAAAAACAACAAGGCCCAAACCACTCCTGTGCTACTGTCTCACTGCTGTTGCAGCGTCTCCACCACCCCTCGCCAGCCTGGGCTGCCAGGCTTCCACAAACACTTCAGCTATGTCCTTTATAGGACGTCTGGCCTTTTGGGCAAATGCTGCACAGGGCATTCTCTGTTCATGCCTGCAGCTCCCAGGCAGACAGAATTAGCCTTGGAAACAGCTGTAGGGCAGACAAAGAGGGAGGCAGGGACTGGTTCTCATGCTGTAACTATCTACTAAAATATTAGCCTTTATTTCCAGAGAACTGGAATGATCCAAAGTTAGCCTTCATATGAGATTAATTGTGACCTACAGTGTGTCATCTGCAGTAAAATCATACAAAAATAAATATTCCAAAACCTAAAGATGGCTCATTGCTCCTGTCTGCAAGCTCTTGGTCTGGTTGCTTGTTGTGCCAGACAGGGAGAGTCTCTCTGTCATTCACAGTGTTTCTTTTTCCGTTTGAATTATTTTTCTGACCAGTGAAGGCTTCAGGGTTGATTTCTCCCTCTTTCAGCAGCTTGGCAACATTGTAATTCCAGCATCAGCTGAAAGCATATGAAGGGTGTAACAGACTCAGATTTTGCCCACTTGCTGCTACATACCATCTCAGTGGAACATGTTCATGTTTGCATATTAACTGAAAATTTCTAGGTGAGAAACACTTCTTTAGGTTAAGACTCATATTAAGTGCATCTGCTTCATAAATAATTACGAGTTCCTTCAGAGGTCCTTTGAAGAAAATTATGTGTTTCTCTAAGGGAAGTCCAAGTGAAGTTCATTACTCTGGCCTTGGCCAAGAACAGGGCCAGAAGTGATGGCACTGCAGCAGGGTGGTGGTCTGGGCAGAGAGCCTGTCCTCAAAGCTGCCCCATCAGGCCAGATCAAAGTGCAAAG